AGGTCCTCGGGTGCTGGCCGCGGGACCTGGTGCTCAGGGGTGGCCGGCCGCGGGAACCTGGTGCTCAGGGGTGGCCGGCCGCGGGAACTGGTGCTCAGGGGTGGGCCGGCCGCGGGACCTGGTGCTCAGGGGTGGCCGGCCGCGGGACCTGGTGCTCAGGGGTGGCCGGCCGCGGGACCTGGTGCTCAGGGGTGGCCGGCCGCGGGACCTGGTGCTCAGGGTGGGCCGGCCGTGGGACCTGGTGCTCCGGGGTGGCCTGCCGCGTGACTCAGGTCCTCAGTGGTGACCGGCAGCGGGACTCAGTCCTCATCAGCTTGGGCAGTCCAGAGAACAGGGCCTTAGTAAACCTTGTCCACAACGTTTTCTCAGTCAATATGGGGGAACAGCTGACCCCGCCCGAGGCGTTGCCCCGGCCGTGACGGCGGGTCGAGTGACCTTTGCCGCAGGGAGTTTGCCTCGGTGACCCGGCGCGACGCGGGGAGCCTGTCATCGGCCGCCCAAGAAGTGGCCTGCGCCCGTTTGCTGGCTTTCCCGGCAGCGGCGCCACACCCGCAGCTAACCGGCGCGGCTGCGGTAATTGGGGCGAGGCCCGTCAGCACGGGCTGCACGGCCATCGGCCGGGCCGTTAGTGTCGCGAGCCGGTGTCCCACCGACTTTCTTCGCCGGCCGCCCGTGGAGAGGTCGGGTGACTGGTGGGGCGGCCGGACATGTTGAGAGAGCGGCGTGACCGACAGTGGCGGGCTCGGTGATGTGGCCGACGGGTCAACTGGCGGCCGGTTTCTCGGCGGGAATATGAAGACCATCGGCCGGCCGGAAGACATGCCGGCCGAATGGTGTTTCCCACACTTTACAAGCAGCCCGCGACAATACGGGTCCGCGGGTAGCAATGCACAGGCGGTGTTTGGCCACTAAACACCGCGGTGTTCTCCATTTCACCTGGGCCTGTTACTAAGGATGCTCTCCTGGTCTTGGAAGTGATAACATAAAGATCACCTACCCATCCATAGCTGCTGACGTTTCTTTTGACGGCAGATCCCCTCGAAAAGTTTCTGGCAATACGCATGTCTGGTTTGTCTGGCTTGCTTATGCGGCTAAGTTTTCTGCTAAGTTCATCTGGCTGCAGGTCGCCCTAATTGGTAATTGGGTGAAGTCATTTAGTTGATACATTCCACCAACTCGTGTGGAAACTTCTGCCTGCCTAGACACCAATTTTGCCCACCCCCTTCTCTCCCATATACAATAGGTTTATTATCACCCTGTGTTCTGTCTACGGTCAGCCGGCCAGATCATTTTTTAGGTACCATTCCATGGACATGCTGATGCGTCGCAGGCGACGCCGGAGGGCAGCGAGCGAGGTTAGCAATGCCACCTCACCACAGGACCACAGGGCGTTCCGATACCGCGTGCCTTGGATTAAAAATAAATAGCACCGTAATGTCACCGGGACAAGGTTTTTCAGCTCTACCGGTTCCTGGTGAATGAAACATCTAGAACGCACAATTTTCACATGTACGAGCCGATCCGGTAATGTGTGTCCCATTTGTACATGCTGTATTTGGTGACTGGTCGCCAATGGAATAAGCTGACGTGGTTCGCTGTGAGCTGTAGCTGCTTTAAAGTGTCCTGTGCACATGAGCGCCCTCCTTACGGGCCTGATTCACGTTTTTGCGCTGATCAAGAATTGAACCATCCTCATCCACTCGCTTATCGATTCACTTCCACGCAGTTGGGTCGCCTAGTCTTCCGCACATTTCATAATGTAACAGCACGCAATTCCTGTATTTCAGCATGCCGTCACATTGCTCGTCGTGAGGGGGTGTTCCATATTGGAATGTATTGAAGCAAGCATCAGATGTGATAAAATAAGCTCAATTTCACCTAACGCAGTGCTTTTAAGTAAGAAAGACTGCTCTAGACAAAACAATTTCTCTGCTTAGTAAATATGCCACTCAATGCGTCATTGTTTGACCAC